AGAGAGAGAGAGAGAGAGAGAGAGAGAGAGAGAGAGAGAGAGAGAGAGAGAGAGAGAGAGAGAGAGTTTGGTGAACCATAAATGCTGACCAACTGAGGGATGCTTATAAGGTTGTTGCGGCTCTGGAGAATGCTTTGGTCTTTGAAAAGGACTGAAGGTTTGTGATCGACCTACGGCCAACCTAAGATTGCCTACAGATCACGCGATGAATGATTTTTTAACGTTTGCAGCAATAATCTGGACGTAAAATGGTCCTAAGGATTTGTTAGGCGCATTTCTTGTCAGCAATGCCCTACAAACCTATAGAGGCTTTCCTTGTTGTCATGCCGATGCCTGTGACATCAGCTAGTCCCACGCGCCTCACGGCAATTGTGAATCAGCCTGCGTTGACCCGATTAACACCGCCAATGGAGGCGGTGTTCGCGACGGCAAAGAATTACTGACCGCTATATTTTCCTGAGTTTGGACTGCAAGTTAAGAGGCAGTGTGTACACAGACGGCGCCACTTCGATTTTGTGGAACGTTTGGGGACTTCAAGTAATCCCATTTGCATAATTTGATTGTCGGAAGTGGATGCTTCAGCGGGGTGCCTAGCGCCAGTCCGGCGGCCCGAGCCCCCGGGAGCCGCAGGCTGAAACAAAACACGGACCTCGAAGTGTCACGGCAAAAACTACAACGCGACTGCTGGTGTCCGGGCGGCCTCGTAGTTCGCCCGACCTCGGACGTCTGACCCACCTGAAAATATACACTCAGACGTAACGTTACCTGATCGCAGCACTTCGTAATTGGTGCACAGCTTGGGACTGACATACAACTTATCGTAGGTCGCATTCCTATTGTGTGGGCACGAGCTGTCACGTGGAAATACATAACTACGTGCGCAACTGGCGACCGCTCGCATTTCAAAGCACACAATTTTGTCATCCATTGCGGTGCAGGATTGGTGAATACAGTGTTAAATGTGGTCATTCGCCTTATTGGAGCTAAATTACGATGGTAATAGTGAATATTTGTATTGAAATCGCTCTTTCGTATCATAAAGTGCGCTGCCAAAATGAAATACTAAGGCTTGGTGTTTTGCTCATGGTCTGATGTGCAGATCGTGTGCAGCCCGCCCTTTGCTTCGATGACTGCTGCACGGTATTGCCAATTTTGGGGATTATAATTTTCCGCCCCGGCTGTATGTCAACTTTACCTTTGCACATCATACATCACTATATCGCATCAACTTTGTACAGCAATACCAAATGTAAGACTTGCATGCGTTTTTGCTGTTACGGAAGCGTGTAATACACATATTGCATTTGTGTTAAATCTATGCATCTCAGCCATGCAACTGAAGGTAAGGGGAAAACGAGTGTTAATAATGTAACGCAAGGTTAGTTCACCTTCGTATTGCGGAAATTTCCAACACTTTTCCATTCCTCCCTTCTCTACCATGGTATCGCTCTGCAGGAAAATGACAAGCAGTGTTCCTGCCTATTTCACACGCATCTTCAGTGCCAGTGACTATGATTGGCAAACGAACAAGTGACATCCGTCCCAATGCTCACCTGCCATCCCCATTTGTTAAGGCAGTCTCGCGTCGGGCATTTATTTTCTCGCGATGCGTGGAAGCATGGTCAGACAAGCTGTTCAGTGTAACAAGACTCGTCATAACCATATACGACTAAAAGGAACGTTTGAGGCTGATGTAATGGCCCAGCTAGCTGCTTGTGAGTGATCGTCACGAACAGTATAAAGCGTTGACGGTGCAATAACCCTCCACAGGCAAACCACCAGCTTGCTAGAGAAATATAGCTGTTTTCAGTGCAGTTCGCTTACGGTGCATTGAATAAAGGCCATTCAAATGTCTGAAAAGAGCGATTTAGCGCCTTTATAAGACAAATCTAATTCTCAAGACGCTAACGTCGCCAAGAAGAGCAGTGACAGTCGCACATTTACTAGCATGAAGTGCAATTTGATAAATGCCAATTGGGTAGTTAAATGGTGCCAGAAGCACACAAATGTTGGCGCCATTTTTGCTGCCGGTAGACGATAAGGGTGCGTGTTATTTTCATAAAGGGGAATATATGCATAAAAAGCTATTGCCTGGACTCCATACGTTGTACTCGAAATAGGGCGTTGTTTGGCCGCGGTGAAAATAGAATGAATTACATGGCTTATGGGAAAACCTCCAAATATGTGTTTATGGCCGGGAGGGACTGTATTTTAACATCACGGTTTTTGATACATTTGGTTTTTTTACACAAAATGATGTGCATAATATACGTTAGACACTTCACTTCAAGATTTTAACACCCACCCGGGTGGCCGGTTCGATACGCTTCGCTCGGGTGATGGGTCAATTTGACCTCGCTTGAGATCTCAAGAGCTAAGAAAGCACACCAAAGCACACCAAATTCACAGTGTGTCGACCTGTACGTGAACTTGCTTAGGTCAAAGCTTGAGATTCCTAAATGATGACCTTTGCGTTGAATTAGGTCAAGCAAGGTCAAACTCCTGCTTGATCTCTTAAGAGCCCCTGAAACCTATATAACTGTTCTAAGCAAAAGATCACATGCTCAGCTACGGCCAGTGACCTCGCTTGACCGTTTGAAGGTTACGTTGAACAAAATCATACAAGACCACTTTGAGTTTTGCATTTGGATAAGCGACATAGATTACGTTCGGCAGCATGTTCCTGAAAAACGAAATGCTGACCCGGGTCATTCTAGGCCAGTGACCTATTCTGACCTTTAAGAAAGCTATGGAACGTGTTTAATGTGGCTCCCGTCATCAACGAATTTGAAATGAGCACCAGAAGCTATCCCATACAGCTAGCCCTAGAGTAATAAAGCAGGTTGATTTTGACCTCGACCTGACCTTTATACCTGACCTTAGGTCAATGTAATTTGTTAATTCAATTGGTGTGTTGCCGAAGAAAGTATCTCAGAGATGCATGGCTTCGTCTAATACTCCGTTGTTGGATCGGATTGAACGATTCCCTAGAAATTCCCTTAGCTAAAACCATGGTCTGACATTGACCTGCAATCTTAGATGTGCCTTGTAATTGGATGTTTTGAAGCGCCATAATTATGTTTGGATGTACTCGTACTCGTACTTGTAATTATGTAATTGTACTCGTAAATGTAATAATGCAATTGTAATTGTGTAGTTGTAATCGCCATGCAATTGTTATTGGATGTTTGAATGTACCAAACTTGGATGTACCTCGTAAGGGTAGCGACCTTACAAGGTACATTCAATTTTTGATGCCAGACGATCCGCTACTCAGTTGTCTACAGCTATGCAAAATTTGGCGGGCTACGCCGCGCCGTTCGGAAACCATTCCGGAAAAACCTTTGGGAGGGGGTCAATTTGACCCCCCACCCGAGCGCGTGTTAAATTTTGCTAAAGGAAATGTTTCAGATTTGAAACTATTGAAAGAAATATCAGATATGATGAAGCAAGCTCACTTGTAACTATTACTATTTTCATAGTAGAAAGAACGGTATACTTCTAAGAAGACAAACTGCTCTAGCCAACACACTTTCTGCGTTTAGGAAATGCACTCCTCGATACGTCATTATCTGATTACGTCATCGTGCCTTGCAGAGCAATGATCGAGAGCCAATTGGCGGTTGCTATATCGGGGAGTCGTGTTCACGAACGCCAGATATAAAAGACTCGATAATTATATTTTTCGCCATTTGATCGCAGTATGTCTTGTAAAATGACAGGGTTTGAATGGTGTCATTATGACGTTATGAATACCAAGGTGACATTGAAATACTCTCTCTGAAATCGTTTCCCCTTTTCGCGGACGTGTACCTCAGAATGTAGGGACTTGGGATTTGAGAAGGACAGGGCTGTGAGCTGTACCAAATGATATTCTAGATGGCTTTTTCAGTTCTAAATCTCATGCAAATGTGGACCACCCCTCTAAGGAGCATGACTCACTGACAGGACAGTGTTAATTTTTCCGCGCAAGCATTAACAAACACGCTTTGCTCTGCTCATTGCAACATGCTCACGGGCTGCAAATAGGCGAAAAGTGTTTGAGTTGCACAGCTAATTGAATATTGTCACCATCTGGATTCCGAAATAGAACTGTGTTAAACGTGTGATTGCTAGTTGAGATTTTTACTTGGTCTAAGTACTCAAAAAAATCTGATGATTCCGAAAGGGAGGTTTTCTGTAGTGACTAAACCATAGAGAGCGGCACGGCGAACGGGCCATTTCCCAACTCCGACTTCGCTATGACCGCTGGCTATCTGAGCCACGTGACGAAGAATCTTGAGCTTACGGCTTACCAAGAGGCAGCAGCTGCCAATTGTTTGTGTCGAATAACTTGCAAACGAATATGGCGCTTCGATCCGACGCAAAAAGCTGCAGTCGCAAAAATACCTAAAATGATATTCAAATGTTCTGAAGTCGAGGTAAAACCCAAGAAGGGCGTGGCGATTTCAGGTTTTATTCTTCAGAGGTTTTCATCAAAAGCACTAGAAATAGAGCGTGAAGCAATCTTATGTGCTTGGCTGGCGCAATAAAGACCGCAGTCGCCTCAGCAACGGAACATTCCAAACGCGTCACTCTCAGCGTTTCGATGAATTTGCGGTGATTGCAGCATATTTCAAAAAATGTCAACGGAAAACATAACACAGCAAATCATCCGATATGTACATCCTCAACCACTCTGCGGCAATTATAAATATTTGTTGATGTGTTTCAAACCCCACCATCCTTGTTGTCATGCTCGGCCTCAACGATCGGGTCGTCCGTGTAAAAATTCGAGAAAATGTAAGGACCACCGTAAAGCCCAGCCTCTTCGTAAAGGACGCAATTACAACAGCGCAGAATTTGCGCCACATAACGACGCTAACAGCTTAAATGTGATGATGTTGCGTGATGTTTAAACGCATTCTTGGTGGCGTAATTTAAAGAAATAAAAGTTAAAGAAAATGAGGTGACGGCGCTTGTCCGCTGCTCCTTTTGCCTTCTACACATACCAGCAAATACACGCTTTCAATCATGTATATTTGTTGCGGAAACATGAACAATAAACACCCCGTTCACTGGTCCATAAGCTTCCAGCCCATCAGATGTTACCGAAACCGTTTTTGAGACTTCAAGCAATGGTGAGATAAACATGACGTCAACTTACCGTCTCACTCTGCAAGGTGCATTTGTCCCATTCATGTCTAACATCAGTAACGAACACCTGTTTGCTGATATAGAAAAATGGCAGACGTGCCTATTTCTATCAGGGCAATTGTTAGCGACGTACGGTCTACGTTGAAGGCAAATGATAAGCAAGTTATGTTTTCTTTCAGACGTTGAAGCTTGGAAGAAGTCTCTGTACTAATGATTGATCGAGGTGAAAATTTTATGCTGCAAATGAGATAGGCCACTGTAAGTGAATACGCCGCTAAAAAACAGAAAAGTCACAGCTCGGGAAAAAGCAAGATTGAGCAACAATTCAGCATCAAGTGGTCCAGGCACGTAAGGCGGTTTCCGTCGAGCCGAAAGTATATCTGACATTACAAGGCTTACGAAAAAAAATGGTTTACCAAAATCGGACATCCACGCTAGTTTTCGCTGCTTGTGGTTTTTTAAAGGTCATAATACTCGACAGATTACAAGCGGCCAGCTCCTTAAAAAAACACAACGCCACTCTAGACGGCGAGGATCTCACACAGTGGTATGAACAACCTGCGACTACAATAATTAGTAATTCCTTAACCAGTACACATATACACGTATACACGAACGCCGTATTTTCACCCATGTCCACCACTCAGGGAATGCCAGCGAAGAATACACGATCAGCAGACGGATGGGTTCTCTTTCAAGGGTGTACCGTAAGGTGGGATGTGCATCGACTGCAAGCTGCGACCGATGTGGGTAGTGTTTCGTGAACTTGCACCTTACAAGTGTTTAACAACGGTACATTGCACGAGCCATCATTCCTTATCTGCCTATCAGCTAAACACGTTTGTTGACACATCTGAATATCTACAGATCGGCCTGCACAGCACAGCGTTTGACACCAGCACCATTCATCGCCAGTCCGTCTCCAGTGCGGCAGAATCGCCGCCAACCAGTCGACGCCGACGGTGTAGGTCCGGGCTCCAGCCCCGGGCCCGGCAACCACGAGAGAACGCAGGAGGGACGCCCGCAGGCGCGACGGCACCGTCCTCTGCTCTTCGTCGCCCACATCCCGACGGTGTCACGCGGTGCTGAGACACTCTTTCACTCTCTCGTTCTCTCGCTCTCTTTCTTCTGGACTGGTGAGCTCACCAGTCTCGAAGCGCACGCTTTGTGCCCGCTGCCGGCGGCGGTGGGTACGAGACGCCGCTGGAAGGCCCACGCTGCCGACAAAAACACCGCCGCTGGAACGCAGAGGCGAATGGCGAAGAGGTGCCTTTCGCAGGGAATTTAACTGATGCAACAACTACATAAGTCCAGGCGAGTAGTACGAGACGATGTACCGGCGTTCACAAAAATATGCGACAGGAAAACTGACAGCGTTAATCACGCCGGGCAAACATAGATACATTTTAAAACTCTTCATATTGATGAGTGCACCTTCTATTTAGGATGCATACAAAGTGGACGCAAAAATGGATGGGCCACAGAACGCTGACTTCGATGTCAAGTGCAATGAAGCAGCACCTGAATAGCCAATGACAAATCAATGCTGGGGATGGAAGATCTCGTCCTCACCTGTACACACTTCGTTTAGTGATGTCACCTGTTGATCAGGATTAAAACGCAGACGATCGTCGAGAATGCGATGAGCAGCCAACCGGCCCGCGCTCCGGCACGAACGGATCCATTGGCTTTCCTCTGGATCGCCGCTATCTTGTCCCCTGTGCAAAAACACGCATTTAGTGGCAGTGCGCCAAGGGAAGCAGGAAATTATACGCTTGCGGCTGTCACCTTCTTGGTAGCAAGCGGCAGGAAATACGCCCTGTCCTTTAATGATACGTCTGAAAAGTTTCTCTCAGAGCATCCAAAAGGTGGTCCAACTGCGTTTCGTTCATTTCCACGCCGTGCGGTGCGCTGGGGTCACAATTTAACGACGTAAACGCTGCGAGGAAACTGCAACGTCAAATAATTGCAGGAGAGCTCAAATTCTACCCGACGCCAATACTATCAGAAAGCTAATCGCGTTATGGAACCAAGTATCACACATTCACACATTACCAGTTGAGGGGATTACGGATGCGACTGCTGATGCCGCCACGCAACACTGTTAAATTCTTAGTCAACATCCCAAAGTTTCCAGAATGCCAAACCACAACAACGGGATGTTTTCGCAGAGTCCATTTCGGGTTATGGATGCCCGCAGAATTCGATCATCCGTCGGCCAGTGAGCGAAAACAAGAATGTCCGAACTGAAGCCGACCGAGGGCATCACTAGAAAAAATCACTGCGAAAGCTGACGCGGTCAGAACCGCTCAGACGGGAAGAACCGGAGAGGTAGCTAAATGGATAGGGAGGTACGAGCTGGGAAGAGCAATTTAATCCTTCAGCAGACGCCCACGTGTTCAAGAAAACCTTTCGCGTTGTTTGCACTGTTGGACATCTATTTTAAAAGGTAAACCAACATATGCAATTTACACTGATTACTCTTCAGCATTCAACAGCGTGTATCACCTTTTACTACACAAGCTTCGCCGTTTTCTTATTGCATCATTGGCCGCGCGTACAGCTGGCTGGAGTCGTACTTAACCAATCGTTCACAACGCGTAGTTCTGGACGGCAAGCAGTCTAACTAAATTTCAGTACGATCTGGTGTCCCGGAAGGCAGCATCCTGGGACCGTTGCTGTTCGCCTGCTTTCTCGCTGATGTTCCTGACCAAGTTGAGAGTGAGTCTTTTATGTACGCTGGTGATGGGAAAACTTATGTCCGAATCGACAACATAGCAGATTATGTTACACTTCAGGCGGATTTGGATCGCCTCTGTGAATGGCCTAAGAACTGGGGACTGAAGTGAGCCCAGCTATGTGTAATGCCATCTCAATCACCCTTTGCACGTCACCTGTTCACTACTCATACGCGCTAGACTGTCACCGCTTGGATAACTGCCAGCAGACTCGCGATCTTGACGTCTTCCTGGACACCAAACTCACCTTTGCCAATCACATCGATTCAGCCGTCTCAAAAGAAAATATGATGCTGGGCCTTCTCATGCGAAGCGTGCAAATGCTGTCGTGCCCTCGTCGAGCGCGGTGCAATCACCAGGCTTTGTTGCGTGCCTCCAACGCTCATGTGAGATCATTGATAGAGCACGGAAGCGTTATTTGGAGCGGTACTGCCGTTTCCCATCTAGCCCGTTTCGAAAGACTGCAACACCGGTTTCTCATGTGGTTGGGTTCGAGTAGTCAGTCCCGGTGTCCTCCACTGGATTATGTTCATCTTCTCGCTCCCTTCAAAACATCATCTGCCAAGACACCCATCATCACAGGCTTCACTGCGCTCACCTGGCATCACTGTTCAGTCTGGCTACACCCGTCCGGCATTCTCGGCATGTCGGTCTTTTCCACGAACACTAACACCGTTAAAAATGGATTTGTCGCACGACTACCCACTGTCTGCAATCACTTTTTGCAGCATTCTCCTTGAACTGACTTTTGTTAGCGAACAAAAGCGTTCCAATCTGATTTGTTTAGGTTCGCCGGCACACGTGCAACATTTTCTTGATGACTTGATGTGCGACCGTGTGTAATGCGCATGTGTATGTTTGGTTATATTATTTGTTTGTGTGTTTATGCCATTTTTTAAAACTGGGCTGCTCCCGCAATTGGTCTTTCGCCAGTGGAATGTTTATGTCCGAAATAAACAAATAAGCAAATCAACAAGATGGCGTTCGCGTAATTTCTGAACTATGTACAATCTTTTGAGATGCATACTTGCACGGAGAATAGGCCTGGCTTTACGCTCCTCACCTGGCGAGACGTATACCTGCAGGAAGGCGCGGCTATGTAAATCTTGTTCACCTGGTGATTATCCTATTCGAGGAAGGCGGTGTCAACTTCGCTTACCATGGGAGACACGGATCCGCAAATGCAGGATCCCGCTGTCCTGGCTTACACGACCCATGCACGTACATGAGGGCAAGATCCGTGTTAATTTGGTGTGCCCTCAATGTTACATTTTCACATCGTATGAGCCCAGTACGTGCACGAAGGCGGGGTGCACACGTGTCCCGTTACCTTGTAAAACGTACATGGAGGTGGGTTAACCTGCACACCTATCTATGTGGCCGACGGATAGAAGAGGACTGTTACTCTAAATGGGATGGATTCGAATCCCAGAGAGGACATCCGCTCGGACCACCCTAACATGAAGTGGTCAACTGGCAACAGGTCAGAAAGTGTCTACCAGGGCGTCCGACGAATGACACTGTAGGGCAGAAAAGGACTTCTTTCGGCATCATGTGTGGAGAAAAGCACATAAGACAATTTATCCATTGAACTGGAGCTGCAGTACTTTGGTGGTGAGTTCCACGTGCAAGCAACAAACTCAGCTTCACGCGTGTTCAAATCCCGATGCCACCAATGCAAAACGTTGTCCTTAAAAGCGTTCACGTTGTGAGACTTAAGTGTGCATGGAGGCAGGACCATCGTTAACTTTTCTTACGTGGTGACAAACCTGTACGAATGCGTTTTCCGTGTGCGCTCTGCTCACATTGTTACCGGGTTCACGCGCAAAAATGTGGTGGCCGAGTATACTAACCTAACGTGATGTCGGATACACGTGCACGGAGACGAAAGTGCACATTCACAGAGCTCACCTTGTGAGATATACAGCACAGAACCGGTGTGACTGTGTTCACCTTAAGAGACGCACACGAGCACGGAGGCGAGGATAGGCGTTACCTGTGCTCAGCTTGTGAGACGTACACGTGCATGAAGACGAGGGCATGCGTTAGCTGTGCTCACCTTGTGAGACGCACACGTGTACAGAGGCGAGGATAGGTGTCAGCTGTGCTCACCTTGTGAGACGTACACGTGCACAGAGGCGGGGTCCGTGTTGGAGGGCTTGCAGCTGTAGTTGCCCGAGTCCTCCAGCGTGGCGTCCGTGATGGTGAGCCTGCTGAACGTCTTCTCCTTGGACTCGGTATCCACGCTGATCCCGCCTCGGTGCTTGTCGTAGTTAATCATTACGTCGCCGTGGTACCAGAACACATAGTTGGGCGGCGTGGGACTCTGTAATCAAAATTTATTTTAGGCCAAGCTCTTAAGCACTCGCAATCTTCGTCGGCATGGCAAAGCCGGCGAAGATGGCGAGTGTACAATTGGGTTTTTATGGATGAATATTCTGCCTTCCAGCAAAATCATTGGAACCAGTTTGATGTCGGACATAATGTCAGGTACCATAGGTGCGACGACGGCTGACAAAGTACCATACGCTGTGAGCTCCAGCAACGATCAGGTAACAAAGGGTAGTCGTTGCAAGTCATCTTTTTACAGTGTGCTTGAATTGCGACTCTGGGCGTAAAGTAACACCCTATGAGGAGGAAGTTTTTACTCCTTGTCCCCATTTCTTATGTGAATTTTTTCACTCCTGCCGATATTGTCGAACCACACATACCAAACCCATATCCCCCTTTCCAAGGTTTTAAGATGTCATCCAAAATCGAGCTCACTTGAAACCATCAAACATAAACGAGAATCCACAGAATCCGGGAACCTATGGCTATGTCCTCCCTCACCTACATCTGAATAGTGTCCTTTTATGAACAGAGCGAGGGCACCAGGTGCCTCCAAGCCCGGGAGCACCAGCGACACCAGCCACTTGCATGTATCAAATTCGGTTTGTTCACAAAGTGCATCACGATCCGCAGCTGTGTGCGAGATGCAAATTTTTTAAGCATCCTGATTTTGGGGGTCACACCAAGCAACCGTCACACCAGCACGACAAAGCTGGCACGAACACCAGCAAAGCGCGATAGGGAACTTTAGTCCACATACTTCTTCCACTCCAAGAAACATGACTACCAAATTACACCGCCTCCGAAATGCAAGAGTAAAGAATTCAAGAAATGCCTTCTATCTATCTAAAGCTTATCTAAAGCCTGGATATCATCACTTAAGCGCTCGTTTTCACATATTTTTTGTAAAATGTGTTGATTACAAAATTTTACCAGAAAGATCCAAGTCTATATTCTTAACTACTTTTGTTTTTAATGGTCTCATACGAGTGTGGAACAACTTAATTTTTCTTCCCTTTCTAGTTATTTTGAAAAATACCACCTGTGGATTAAAATGTTACCGAGTATCTGCGCAAAATGTTGCGACTGCAAACTTGCCCACATTTCATCCATAAATTGATTAATTCTCTAGCCGCCCAAACACGTTTGATACACACTCAAGGATGAACAATTCGTAAGGAATGAAGAAGCAAACTTAAAGCACCGTATTTATTTTTAACGTCATACTTGCCCCGTTAAACTCTGTTAGCCGTTTTTGGTTCATGGCGGGGCTCAATAATGATAAATCGCAGCCAGTCCAGTTTCACTGCCTCATCACGTTACCTTATCCTGCCGCACATGGCTTTATGACAGACCTGGCGCAGCTACTACAGAAGTATTCGGTAGCGAAATTCTGCCCCGGTCTATCATGCAGACCTCTTCTTACTTATTTCTCATTTAATCTTTTGGGCTAGTGGACGTGATTGATGTTTACATTTTGTGAGTGGGTTGTATGAGCGTCAGCAAACTATGCGAAAGAAACTTGCCCTTTTGGGTGTGAGTTGAGTTGAGATGACTGACTGAGTTGAGATGATGTTTAACATATGGGATACCCTAAGTTATGTCCAGTTGGTTACGCACATGACAAGTGGCGGCAGGGATTTCGCAAGAATTCATGATTCACAAATTATGTTGTGATACAAATAGGATGGACATTATGAGATGAGGCGAGGCTTCTTTAGGTTAGGTTAGTTTGGTTACTTTTTTGGAAAAAAGCATCGGCATTTTGCAGGAAACAGTGGCATGATATTTGTATTTCCTGAGCCCATCTTCAAGGATGCCAGACGTATGTCTGCTGTGTTCTGTTTGGTGATCTTTTATGTGCATGAGCCCAAGGTTCTTTGTTTAAAAGCGTTATGGTCGTTGAGCTCTTTGTTGTTGCCTTGTTGTTTTGTTTTACTTTGCTTTGTTGTGTGTTAAAAAAATCATGTGGGAGGCAAATGCAAATTTCAGCATCAAAACATTGGTGCTATATAATTTTTTATGTTCATCGCACTGTTACGAAATTACTATTATTTCATGCATTCTGTTTCATTGTAATGACCTGAGATTTAAAAAGAACAGAAACAGTTTTGTCATGTTTATGATATTACATCCATGACAACTTAAAATGTATTTCTTTGTTTGCTTGAGCATGTCTTGCAGGCTCATAAGTTCCAACTTTTGTTATTTGAATTTTTCACTCCCCACCGTCTTTTTGTGACAGAATTTTCAGCTCCGATCCTAGTTCTAAGGTGACTGCACCCCACTGTCTTCTTACAAATCGTAACCATTTCATTACAAATACAGAGACTTCAGTCCACGCTATAAATATCATACTGACGTGTTTCCCTAATATCGGTAGCTTGCGATAAACTAAGATTGATGTAACAAAATCGCCCTTCAATATACCAGGCCGTGCTGAATAAACGAAGATCTAGCATTTCATGGTGAAAAACGAACTTTTCGACGCTACGGTCATGACCAGGAGCTTTCTAAACATAACCAATACTTGCATGATCCCGTCGTTTAGCCTGTGCTTATCGGTACATTTACGTAAGTTCGGCTATTTTCAGCACATGAGAGCTGTCAGTTAATAATCCTCCCCCCCCCAAAAAAAAAATAGAGTAGAAGCTTTGGTTATAATGACTACGATGCTGAGCGCAGTCATGGATTTATACAACAAAAATGTTAAAAGTTCTGTACTTTCGTGATTGAAGCTGTGTTTGGAAGAAAATATAAGTTCATGTTGCAACATGCTGTCACTGAGTCACATCCTGCCGTCAGCTGCAGTTGGCAACCAGATCGATGGCCATTAGCGTGGCCAGACCGTTTGACTTCCGTTGTTTTCATAAATGATGGTGTGATAACTTTCTGGATTTTTACGCAGTCGAGTAACAGAATGGCCCATAAACAGCATTCAAGTTCATGTGCTGAAGCATTTTTGGCCTACATGGAGAAAGCATCTGGATATTTCGATTTGAGTTCTTCAATATGACTATTCCAGTTTAACTCGTATCGGAAAATACTTTTCCAAGTTTTCATAATGATTTTTAGCATCGTAAAGAAACGCATGTTGTCGACATCAGTGATTAGCTTACAAAGCGAGAAGTCAGAATGTCCTCTAACCTGCTTCGAATTCGTGGGAGAGCAAGACTCAAGCAAGGAATGATGCATTTTGCAAGCAGGCTGAATGCTATATGAGCTCTGGTGCTGCGCCAATAGTAGTTAATCAAAGGAAATGGAGGGCCAGCAAAGTTAGCCCATGAATATCTGATGAACTCAAACTGCCTGACACGGGACACACCTCCCTCGGCTTTCATGAACGCTGTCTCATGTTTCCATAATTTCCTTGCAAAATTTTGCTTTCGTCCGGCTATAAATACTTTGCCGCGTCAGGTCGTCAACGTTTCCGACACCTAGTATGCAACTAAAAATGCGTGTAGGTCAAAAGGAGGTGTGTTTAACGATGCCCGAAAATAGCTCCCATGACGATGGCAAGAATTAAAAGAATGCTAACGCGCGCAGGCAGCAGGATGCTGACACCATGTTCCGGACATAAGTAACGCTAATGTCATATGCAGGCTGAAACGGTACAACAAAAATATTGTTTGGCGCATCTGTCCACCTACAATGGTCCTGCATGTGGAAAATTATGCCAATTGAAATGTCATGATAACATTTTGAATGGAAAGACTCGAGGCAACTGGTGAAGCGAGTGATTGACATATTTTTATAGCAAACCTGCTCTGGTTTATAAGAACCTGGCATGATCCTGAATAAGCGAGAGCGAGATAAGTTGCCTAATCATACGCTTTTCTCAAATAGCATAGTAGTTCACACTAGCACACATACTATCATTGACATAACCAGCCAGTCAGACAAGGATTACATGACAGACTGCTGGTTTGAGACTAATTTTACAAACATAGCATGGTGATCGTAAGCCGCAATCTTCAGGTGCCAAACTTGATTTGAAAATAGCGGAGCTAAGCTTTCGGCCTGGCCTCTTCTCAGCTTTAAGTGGAGACCAAGTAACTGCCAAACATTGATTCACGCGCTCAAAAGGCAAGCTGATCGATATGGTTGGGCAGCGACGAATATTTCATAACATCATTAATTAGCATAGATACGACACATCCGATATTAATTACATGTATATGCAAATACATAATATCTATTTTCCACGCGTACATCTTACGTAACGATTTTCACATGACATCTTACATAATACCTTGCCACGAATACATCTCGTTAACGCAGGCTTCATCCCAACACACAGTCAATGCAATAATACGGTGCACTCGCCCACAACCAGCATGCAGTGCAAAAAAAAGGAAATTCAATTCAACGCATTGCTGGATGCACATCCAAATATGCCTATGCGGTACGGCGTGGGGGATGAGGCGATAAGCTAATATATGGGCGAAGAGACGATTAGGCGACAACGATCATGAGGCCCGAAGTGTGGGGCGCTGTGGGACAAATCGACTCGGGCCCACGGGCGTATTGACATAGTCGACGCGGGAGGCGAGACCCCCCCCCCCCCCAATTTTTTAAAGTGCATGTGACGTATTAACTTGCATGTGCTTAAATGCTGAAAACGCAATATCTCAGGAAATCACATAAAATAGCTAAAATCTAGCAAGTGCTATTGCAGTCAAAGTGACTGCAATGGACGCTGCAGAGCCCTTGAAGTCCAGTTGAGCCATCTAGACGAGACGAGTAAGTCTTCCTCCCGCCGTCCGTTCCCTCAGGAAGCGGAGGACTACCTCCTGCAGTGCTTTCAATGGGTCAAACAACCGTTTTGGAGGTTTCTTTTTGAGAAACACCTTAACTGGGCGTGGACATGGATAACTACCGTAATGGTGAGGGTGGTGGTGCGGTCCTGCTCGCTCAATGTTTGAGGAAAATTCGAAAATGTTTGAGGAAAATTCGTAAGCGACCGCAATTTTCAGCCTTACCAGCTTGCGAAATTACTACATTCAACCCATCACACCTGGACCACCGTTTGCGCGCGCGCACACACACGCACGCACGTACGCGCGCACACCAACCGGCTTCGTGAACTCAAAATCCTCAAAGAATACCAGCATTGTCATTTCAACATCATCAGTACATGAGACATTACGTAGAGCCATCTGGAGCTACCTGGCGGTGCATGTGGAAACATAACCGTTCAGTCAGGAGCAACCTGTTTGAGCTGCCTGAACCATGATCTTCCATGTAGGGAACATGATTTGTTACGGTGTGTAAACAATGACAACCTCGTCAATGTTTCACCACCGAACATATGCCTCACTACATATGGATCTATGAAGTGGTGTGATTTCCGACACAGCATCGAACTACAGTGACGTACTTTATGAAGTTGTCCGATAGACCCGACTTGCGCAGTCCATCCATGCATTACACCAGTACAGCTGCAGAGCGTTTCAGCGAGCAAACCGACTTAGTACAAATGATAAGTGATCACACACGTGTCGCTACCCCTCACTTTACCTGAGCTGAGACGTCACCAGACACACGTGTGCTACTACCCTTCCTTTCACCTGAGCTGAGGCATCACCAGAGTCCCAGAGGCCACGCACATTTTTGAATGAGTCTAACCAGTGGTCTAAATGCAATTTAAATAAGTGGTGTTGGTCAGTAGTCAGGAGTGGAAAAGTATACGAAATATAGGAATGTGTACAGGAATGGGAATAATTACCCCACTGCAAACGTTGGGCGGCTGAAGTATTTGTCTTGAGATAGCAAAGTGGGTTTTTGGCTTTTGGGAGAAAGAAAAAAAAACTCCGCCCCTGTAAACTTTGAGCGGCTGAATGCCTCCGCCGATGCCATGGCTTGCAACGAAACTTCGCGAGCCCATTACAGACGTCCAGGATTAGTCCAGCACGGCCGGCTATACATCAAACGATCAGAATGCCTTGATGTGCTCAATCTTGTCGTTGCCGATAACCAGTTTGGCAGACTTCATCATCTCGTGGGCCGCCGTAAGGGTGCATTTCAGCTCGTGGGCCGCCGTATGGGTGCGCGTACGCAGGCTGCTGATCGGCCTCGGACCCAGCTGGATGAAGGGGATTTGGCGGTTGCGGGGGCAGTTACAACCAAACCATCTTAGCTTCTGGGGTACTTCGGTCTGTTTTTGATGGACCGGATCGGATTGTACGATGTTCTAATCAACATCGGTCGTGCGGATTGAGCTCCAACTAGTCGGCAGCAATCGTTAACAAAGCCTTCAAATGTTCAGCTGAGGCATTAAATAAACAGTATATAAGGGACATTAGTTTTAGGGACCTGGCGATGCAGCAACAGGTTATATAATTCATACACATACGCGCTGTAATATTTTTACACTAAGACATAGCACTGACGGGGTGGTATCACGTAGTAACAAACTTAGAAGTTAGCACCGATTTGCTCATTCAGGTATTAAATACGACAAACAACATGAGGATGGCGTAGATATTAGCTGCGTGATATGAATGTCTGACTGCATACTGTTAACATACACATAGGCCTTACGTACAAAATGGCTACATTTGTATATCTTCCTGCCAGTTTGCACAGCACTTAGAGCTGGGTTGAAGAGCTTGATAATGCAATTAGCACAATGTTCTTAATATGCAATTGTTTTGGCCATGCCCTTCCGTACAAACAGACAGGCACGGTGAAGAGCTGCCATGCGCTGTTACAAAAAAAAACTGGGATATCAAACAGTGTTTACGACAGCTTTCTCAGAATACTGATCACACCGATATTGAGGTAAATCGCCGCAATGTAGCCAATCGAAGTACAGTTTGGTCTGAGATGGCGTTGCTTTTCAATTTATGCAGTTGTGCAATGCATGGCCAGTCACATAGGAATAGCTCTTTCCTACTTATGTCTGTTGTGGAAAAAGAAACACAGGGACATGACAACACGTGACATTTTGAAACCGTATTAAAAAGTCGCAACTGTCTACTCCTCCCAACATGATCTGACCGTGCTCCACTTGTTTGTAGCGTGCCTGCATTATTATTTGATGAAATTAGCAATTTGCCGGAAACAATGGGTAGCAGTAGGATTGTCTTCATAATCGGTGTGAAAGAAGGAAACATATTTCGTGCCATAGCTGTATGGCGGTGTCTCACCCAGGTTGTCTATCATATTGTCTAAATGACCCAAAACGGCCGCAGATGGGATGAGTTCATTTAATTTGTGTGGGTCAACCCTCCACTCCACATGCTGAGCAGCGCTCCCCCGCCGTCGTTCGTTTCGCCCTCTCAATGTAGCCGATATTTATTAGGCCTAATTTGTGTTCCATGCCAACATTGTTGCTCAAGCAATATCAAACAACATGTTTTTGCATAAACAACACAAACATTGCGAGCAACAATTGCAGTTATCAAAATAAAGCAGCAACGCATACGTCGATAAACACAAATATTGGCAAAGCCGGCTGTTTGCCTCTCGGCTCGGGGTTTCCAATTACTTACAATTCCCTCACCCTGTCAACACCACATACCAATTGTATGGCAGTGTCTCATACAGCTGATATACAGACTGTATGGTGGTGCTTCATTCACAGTGTCTACCACGCAGACCAGCTGTATGGCGCTGCTTCACTCACCCTGTCCGGCACGCAGACCAGCAGTATGGTGGTGCCCCGCTCACCTTGTCCACCACGCAGACCAGCTGTATGGTGGAGCCCCGCTCACCTTGTCCACCACGCAGACCAGCTGTATGGTGGTGCCCCGCTCACCTTGTCTACCACGCAGACCAGCTGTATGGCGCTGCTTCACTCACCCTGTCCACCACGCAGACCAGCTGTATGGTGGTGCCCCACTCACCTTGTCCACCACGCAGACCAGCTGTATGGTGGAGCCCCGCTCACCTTGTCTACCACGCAGACCAGCTGTATGGCGCTGCTTCACTCACCCTGTCCACCACGCAGACCAGCTGTATGGTGGTGCCCCGCTCACCTTGTCCACCACGCAGACCAGCTGTATGGTGGAGCCCTGCTGTACGTGGTACTCGGGTCCGCTCGGTATTGTCGCCACCGGCTGGAAGACGTGCAAACGCACAAACCGGGACACGTAGCCGGAACCGGACGACACCTGTGGAACAGGTCACTCGGTGTCAAGACATTGACAGTCAGGAGGACACCTTGCGTATCATGAACGCACCGCTGTCAGTCTGTTGGGGACCCGTTGGCCACCCATAAGTGTCAGGTGCCGAAGACGCAACGCTTCGGAGCTGTGACCAGACTGCCCGGTCTGGGACGCGCTGGAAGCACATCCGTCACGTTTCGCCAAGCAGCAGGACCCGCTGAGTGATTGTACGACATACGTCAAGGTCAGACACCTGTGCGTGTTACAAGCACCACATGAATTGACTTATTTACTTAGGACGTTCGCGCGCGCTGTGTGCACTGGAAAAGCGCGCACGTTGTGCGCCGCTTAGAGGCCACTACATTATGAAGCCTGCAACTCGCTTTAAACATATTCATTTGAACAGCCCCACAAAATTCACCTGATCTTACTGTTAACCATACGGTCTGGGGCTCCTGAAGCACAACGACTCATTACACCAGATATCGTCAAACTCGTTTAAGGGAATATTGCACAGTTGAAAATATTAAGGCAGACGCCAAATGTGATGTAATAAGCTTGCTTGTAAGTATTGGTTTGCCCATTAGAGTAAACTACTGCTCCAGACGGCCAAAATGTACTATTTAGGAAACGTTTTCATAATTGCCGCATCGTTTGGTTACGTCATGGAAGGGCTTTATGACGTCAGAACCGCTGCGAGACTGACCGTGTCACAATTCCCACTGTAGAGGACGGGCTGATCCACTTGAAATACTACAAGTAGCGGACACGTGGGGGTATTTGCTGATGCGTGTTTTCCTGAGCCTGAATTTCGCTATGTGTTCGTGTTTGGGCCATTCGTCGTGGTTTTCCGTATATTTACTTTGTTACATTTTTCGTTACATTACACTATTCGCTACTTTGCATTTCTTCATTGCATGCACTTACTAAGTTAAGGCGGGATTCCTTATTTATTTGATTTCCGGTCGTATGTCCGTCGTAACTAGCATCTAGTATGTATATGATATATTAAAATGCCAGCGGTTGTGACAAGATGTTGGATTATGAGCGACACGTCCTTACCTCTTTCTCGCACCATGTTTTTTTTATAAATATGGAAGGATTTTACATTTGTATGTAAGGCACTCAAGGCGCACGAGAGACGTCACACTTTGACTAAAGCACTGCGCCATCCGATACAATGTTTAAGGTAACCCTGTCATGCGTTGAAAACAAAACAACGAACACAAATTTACGTGCTGTTGTCAAAATACATGAAATGCGTTTTTGATTGCGTGATTGTAACTTCATGTAGTTGCGCGATGCACGATTATAAACAAAAATAGCTTTCGTATTTGTTCAGTATGAGCAAAAATAGGGATGTTTGGTAGTGCCTGGCATTTCACTGATAGGACCAGAAAATGGTGCACATGCTTCATTCCTCTGAGTGAAAAGGCAGGTACCGCATGCTGTGGACGGTCGCACACTTGGATTGTAATGTTAACGCAACCGGTAATCCAACAGGAAACAGTGGTCGCATTTGAGACTGTTTCATTAGTTGGTGTGTCCGAGAGCGGATACACACCTGAGGTATCAGATATGAGGTAAGGTGGGTGTTCTCGCTATTCAAATGGCGTACTAGATGAGCGTCGTCCTACGCTTGTGAACTGGGTGCCGTTGCAACTGTGCAATAGCATGTGTAGGTATGTTGCACCTAACCTGGGGTTTCGAAATGTTAGATAACGCGCTCATGCCTTTAGGTTACTGAAACCGAAATCGATTTTGGCCCTGTGATGTGGTGATTTGAAATTTGGCTGAAATAATTGGGATATCACAAGCAATATGATGAGCCTTGTTCGTCCTAATTTCCATACCAAATTCAATTCCACACAGGCAACAAGCTGCGTTAAGTAACTTAGCACCCACTGGCTTCTTTCAACTTAGTGTGCATTTGTTGAACAAAAATCAACAATTTATTAAATTGAGGATTGTCGATGAACCACATTTGCTGTCAAATATTTAAGATTTCCTAAAATGGAAGCGGGTAGGCACGGACCCATTTGATAATGTTTTCTAGTAAGACGAACCGTACCGGGTTGGATTGAAAAATCAGAAAAAAGGATTGGCGGGTAGATTCAATGTGGACTAGCCGGATTGGACTGGACCGGGTCCTGGAAATTAAAACCGTGAAGTGCCCATCCATTGAGACCGGCACCAGAGGCCCCTTTATGAAGGCAGCCGAACCACAAGCTTATTCCACATTTTGTGAGCACAGCCCATTCGTTCGAGTGGTCAGACCTGGAACAGGCTACCGGAGGGCGTGGGTGGCGCTGATGTTATTGAACAGATGAAGGTCAGAATTGACAAACACTGGTCGTCCCGAGAACACCGCTTTATCGGCCAGACCAGAGTCATTTATCCGCTGTTTTTAAGGAGTTACCACATTTGCAAGGGTTTTGAACTGAGATAAGCGTTTTCAAAATCATGCAGTGTAGTTCAAAGCCCTGTCCCTTTTAAGGCCTAAAACCCTCTCGGGTCTGAGCATGACGCCCGCGAAATTGTGCAGGCTTTTTGTGCAGACATTCAAGATTATTCAGACATGCATGGTGGAATATAAACGGCACGTGAATATCAACATGTAGTTGGCTATGCATTATATAAGTTAATGATTTGTTTTTGCTTGACGCAAAGAGGACCTAAATGAATGTTGGCGAGAAAGCTCCCTTTGGTCCATGTTTGTAGAGAACAACATACTCAATTAACTCCTAGACTACTTTGATGTATATTAGTTGAGGAGAGAGAGTGGGTTAAAGAAATAATTGTGAGGCTAACGGTCTGTTCGGTCATACACCTAGAAATGCATCAGTTGAAGGAAAATATTGAGTTTGAAACTGGTGTTAAACTCATTAATTTAGCCGACTGACTAGATGAACAGAAACTATAGTGTTGTCATGGAGTTGGCCATTCTAGCTTTTTCAGACAGGATTTAAATTTCAAATTCCGTCCGTGGTATGCTCTCTAGTAAGCAAGCGTGCTCTTGTCATGTGTTGCAATTCTGAAATGTAATGTCACTTTCAGTGGTTAAACGGGATTGCTGGCAAGACCAAGAGTAATGTTAGCTATGTGATGATAAGATAGGGTATTTGATCATCAGTAAATCTTGTTACCTTGGATGACAATTGGAGCTCTTGTTCTGCATAGCGGCATATCTGGGTGTCATTCATTCATATAAAGTTGTCAATGTGACCTTTTCATCAGAAAATTATTTGTTGAATATGTGGCTTAGTTACGTGATATGTAACCTGCTTATACATTTCGTAAAACCAAAAGTGATGTTTTTATGGGTTTAAATGTTCCTCCTATGTTGATGTATTCCTTTAATATTTAAAACACTATTTAGTGATAATTTCCAATTGATTGATTTCAATCTGTTTAATCCGTGTGACCTGGAAAATTTGAAAATCCGGTCCGGTCCTTATTCATGTTTTGACGGATATTTTTGATCCAGTGTAATCCAGCTCGCTGATTGATCCAAAACCTGCAGGTTTATCCAATCTGTGAAGTGCTATACTCAGTGGGGTGCTTTGTGCAAGCACTTCCTCGTTGTGGGGCCTGGCAGAGAGCCTGCATGATCCAGTACACGATATCGCTGTTTTGAATACATGGGACGCAAAACCAATCAAATTAGGAAATGTACGACTGGTGCTGGAGGTTTTTTTTTACTAGTTTGGAGTCCAGCACTAAACAAGTTTCATTACATCCTGACCTTCTTTGAAGCAAGTGTCCACAAAGGTTTGACCTAATCCAAGAGGGATTATATGAATGTTTTCTACAACATGGGGAAGTTCCGGCGCTTCATGTTTTCGGAGGGTCATATGACGAATTCAGAGCTCTGCTTGCTATGACCTGCCTGTTGATGGAATTTCAGCTTTATGATAACAGCACCCAGTTACCCCTCATTGGAGACTTCCCCCAGCGATTACAACAGCAGACTGCATTGGCGGTGCTGGTTCCTGGCCCCATATGGTGTCTGACACTTCTGAACGTTGATTGGCGGGTGCCGTATCACTGAACAGATGAACGGCGCATACAGATGAACTCAAAGCTAGCTTCGATCGGACACATACAACATTAACTCGCCTCGGGTTGATAATAATTAGGTATCAAACTGGGTTTTGGCTATGGTTTCAACAGATTCAAGGTTTCATCTGTTTATTCACTTGACGATATAACAACGTTTGGTATAGTGCTGACACACAGGGCAAGTCAGGAGTAAACTGTACCAAAAGTAACACAACTAAAAGGTATTTTACAAGCCACTTATGCACACGTGCACAGCCGTCGTTATCTGTGTAGCACCTGGCTCGGCCTGGTTTTGGAGGCAAAACAGCGAGTTGCTGAATGAGTCTACAGATAAAACTTGCCCAAACATATATTCGCATGTCTAAAAAGTATGCAAAACAAGGCCATTCAAACTCGTATGTATCGGCCATGAAACAGAGAGGAGACGCCACGTTGCCCGCCTTGAGATGGCCACGATCCAACAAGGTAGTAAATGCAAAATAGTTTTTCGTCTAACTTTTTTAACAGACTCTGCCGTCCTCGAAACGGTGAAGCCGCAACCAGGTAAGAGAAGACATTGTAAAAAGGTAGCCGAGGAGGTGATTCCAAACGCCAGTGATTTTCCGTGTCCGCCTAAACAAAACAGTAGTCAACGCTAAGACCACATTCTGGAAGTTGAAACGCTTTATTTTAATCAGATGGTGAGAGCAGATGGTGCACGGTGACACATAAGTGATAACAAATGACAGCAGCGGACGAAGGCAACAAATTGGCAACAAAATGCAGTCATTGTCATGTGAAGATTTTTCATAATTCGGAAAATAAAACAGGATACTCGCATCAAATTATGCCAAGTTTTGTTATCACTCTTGCATGAAGTCACATCTTGTGGAACTGCACAGAAATAACCTTAGGATGACACTTCTGCAATGCCTGCACTCGCAGAGGCTGATATGCATTTCGGA